ATAACATTGATCTCAGAAAACTTCGCGTAAACAAAATCACCGGCCGCCGAAACCACAAAGCGGCTCTAAATGAAAAACCTACCGACTCTCCGCAATGATTCTTCATTTGCAGTTCAATTTAGCATTTCAGTTTCGAAGACAAGGGCAATTTTGCTGTTTAAGATAAAGATTAAGCTTATCGAAATGTTTGAACTAAACGAAAGAATGCCAGGGATGCGATCCGCTGAATATCAAGCGACAATCCCGCTAAAATTTTTCATAATTATACATAATTATGCGAATGTTTAGACAATCAACCAATCAAAATCACTACCCGGTTTTCGGGTAGTGAGTGACGTCACTGGACGGCATTAACGGCCGGTCGATTCAGACGTTGTTGAGAGGAGAAAACGACTCGAAGCAATCGGATGAATTTCAGGCTAGTTCTATCTGAATTTGGAAAAATTAGGGAAACCGGAAAGATGTGTCATGTTATGAGCATCGATGAGTAGGTTACCTGTATGGGTTGGTTTAATGTGCTTATGACTGAATTTATAGTAGCCTGCGTGACAGGCTACTATTTCTCCCCAATCCACATCCCCTTTTTGCTGTCTCCCTATCCCCTACCCCTTTCGACACCTGCTACGCAAGCTAAATTTATAGTTGTCAGTGGTCGCAAGGATGGAGTTGATCTTGTTTTGATCTATCGCTATGTAGTTATTTTCATAGCACGATTTGGATAAGAAAAAGAAGTTATTTTGCATCAAAACAAGGTTTAGCCGTGTAACAAGTACTGGAGAACATGCGCATAATGCTCTCTGATTAACCTGAACAGGAACTATATGTATAAAGATGCGTCATATCTTGGTAGTAAGTAGCCACAGGTAACTTTTTCAAAGAGAAATGAACATTGCAGTTTTATGTTAATGGTACAAAACATCCGCTTGCTTTATCCAGGGTCGAACCCAGGGTTACAAAGTTCGATGAAGTTCCAATGTTTTAATCCAAGATGAAAGTTTCATATTCCAAGATGTTCTTGATACGGTTAAAAATTAATTGCAATGTGTTTCCAAGGTCTCAAAGTTAACATAGTTCCAATGATTATACCTGATTCCAAGGTATAATAAGTTTACTAAAGTCCTGATCCGTGTCCCATCCAGAAGTCCAATCCATGCCGAAAGCGAGTCGTCGATCGACGAGGACAATATTTTCGCGATTTCACCGCCAATCGTCAAGGGTACGAGTTGAAATTTACGCGATTTAACCTCCCATCGTCAAGGTGTTTTCGATAAGAAAAGAAAAAACTGAACCCTAGCTGTGCTCGGCAAAAACTGGCAAACTCCGAATGGAAAAATCTATCGGAAATCACGGCCCGCAACCAGACGCTACTACAACCTTATGAAAAAGCTAGACCTAAACAAAAAAGATTCATGAAGGAAAGAAAGGTCGTCTTTCGTGACTTGCCAGTATACCGAAGGATTTCGCTGGTTAACAAGCCATCCTAAACCACGAGTGGGAAAACTCAAGCAATCGATTAAAAATCGATACAGATTTTGTACAATCTGATTGGTCGGCCTGGAAGAAGAGATAATCGATAAAGCTTTTAGGCAATCCTATTGGCTGGCTTTGCAATTTTGGGTACAACCGAACCGGATTTTTACCGTGGGAGTGCCACAGGCATCCCACGAAATAACTAACTATGCTTCAACAGCATGATCCCAAATTACTGCGAGCCCCTAACAATCCCCTACCCTCACGACAGACTCCACCTCCCATCAGGAAAGATCAGATTTTTCCTGAGGGGAGGGTGGGTCTGTACACAGGCTACATGAGAGATAGACCACACCACCGGGGTCTGCGTTCCCTACTCTTTTCGAACACCAGTGTGGGTTCTTTTACGTTGTCCCTTCAAATTGATAAGAAAAGATGAAGAACACAAGTGTAATTGCTGAAATTCTGGCGGTCGCGAATAATCCAAATCTCAACAAAAACAGGGGTAGCACGGTGCGAGGCGATAGATGATTCGAACTCCACGTGATAGAATATCAAAGCAGATTTAATGACAGATCCTTATAGTTCATAACAATAGTAGTCGCGTGTACAATAATTCAATGCAATAGCAATGTTCGTAGCCTAGTTACGACGTAACAAAACGTAGACGTAGACGTAGCGCAGCTAAACGTAGACGTAGCTAAACGTAACTAGACGTAGGTTCGAACTGAAAGCGATAATTAAAGAATACGAACTACTTAGATTAACTATAAAGTTAGGACTAAAAGGTAGAATAATCTAAACGACATAAAACTATGATGCAAGAAGCAGACAACTGAAAAATCCGATAATTGATACTTGAGCTAATTAACCGAGACAATAACATTTTACTCCCAGCGTGAATAAAACAATAAAAAAAACTATATCGTAGCGATTCCGCTTGAACAGAACTTATCTCAAAAACACTAAACTAGATTATATAAAATACTTTGGTAACAGCAACAATAATAAATCCTGTTTGATTCCAGCAGATTTGTCTTCAAATCAATGTCCTCCTCATAAGATAGCATAAAGACTTGATAGTTCCACGAATTACAGTACTAAATAACTATAAGAAAATAAAAGACTTACTTTGGTCGACGACTCGCACCAAAAGTAGCAAAAAATAGCAATCTGGCAGCAGTAAAATATCTGCTGATAGCAACTCCAATGATGGCGGGATAACTTATCATTTCTAGTATTGCGTTGCCTCTTTTATAATAGAGTATACGTGTATTATGACTAGGGCGTTAACTAAGCAAAACTGTACCTACGCTTTACGCGTTTCCTAGCGGAAAGTACCGCACCGTGACATAAGCCTGAAAACCTACGAAATGTTTCTAGAAAGATTGATATAATCACGTTCTATAACCTAAAAATAAAACTGTCTTAAAGCAACTAAAAAATATTATAGGGCAAATGAACAAAAGAGCGTTTCAAAACTAACAACAAGGCCAACGGCTTTAGTCTCATCCCTACATGACGCGATCATCATCGTGTACTTCTGAGTCATACATACACTTGGGAGGATTACTAAGCTCATAAGAACTCGAAGTATTAGTTTTTTTGACGTCATCAGCGTGCTCAACTGGAATATGAAGCGCACTGACGCTATTGAATAACAATTTGATCAGTTAGGCGAATATTCCTGCTACGTTATAATTTTAAATTTTTTATGGTAATTACTTTCAGAAATTCTTATCGGTCAACTCTAGCCTTACGGACATCTCTTAAAAGGTTCACGTAGCTCACGTGCCCTATTACATTCTTAACTTTTTCAAATTTTTTTAACGGTGTATAGTTTTGTACTAATACACAGATTTAGCCAGGGCTAAAAGCGAAGCTCTCGATGATATTTATAGCTTTTTCAAACAAAATATAAAATCATGTAACGCTAAGCGGCGAGGGTAACGCCGGAGAACGGTGAAAAACAACACGCGCACCTTTTCCATGGCTATAACACCAGAAGTCGTGATTTGCTGCGGCCTCCCTTCGCAAAAACTACCAAATACCAAAGTAGCTTCAGAATAAACGGTGCTCGGACCTACAAAACCCTACCGAGAATCATTAGACAAGTAGAGACCCTCAGTGAATTCAAAATCAAGCTGAAGCGCCACTTTAAACAGTAACACCTGCGTTACATGTTGTCTTAACTTAATTAATTGCCTAATTTTAATGTTTTAATGTCTTTGTTTTTGTGTTTTGTCAGGGCTCCATTTAAACTAGCTCTGCTAAATTGGATGCCCCTGGATAAATATTGAATTAAATTTAAAAAAAAAAGAGGTCTAATTAGCAAAAAAGCAACTTTGCACGTGCTGCACGCTTTTTTTGTACATTTCTTTGCCGTTGCTTTGCACGACTACAACGTGAAACTTCCAGAAACTTCTTAGTTACACGTTTTTTTCGGTTCACTTTTTTTCTCTGTCGCTCATTTTTACCTTGCATTTCTCATTTTGTCACCGCCGTTACAAAATTTTAATGTTGTTCTTCCAACAAAAAAAATGTCTCCTTTGTTTTTTATCTCTCGCTCTAAATCTCTGTCGCCCTTTTTCTCGTTGAGCTTCGCTGGCCTGCCGCCTGCTTTCTCTTTTTCTCCGTGTTTCTCTTGCTCTATATTCCAAATTTGTGGACATGACAATTAATCTAAGCTTAATACTTTAGAAAACACGGATGCAGAGACAATTTCCGCTTTCCATTTTCCTCTTCATTGACTCTTTAGTTGTTTCTGCTTTACAAGACGCAGGTGGCTATGCGATTTCCCGTCAAAATTGAAATAACCTCGAGTTGCATTTGGGTTGCATTTGGGTTGATTGAATTATTTTACATTGGTATGCCTGTGGTGCGGACGGACGGTCTCTCGGGTGGTGTACGGTCACGTGATTACCAAATTTTCTTGGATGGGTAGTTTACCACATTTTCTTAGCCATAGTGCTCCGCTGCGCGCTTCGCGCGCGAGAGCTCCGCTATGAAGAAAGCAGCATTGCCAAAACGTCGGCTAAAACTCTTGTAACAGCAACGATTTTAGAATTTTTAAATTAACATTGAGGATTATAGTTACTCTCGTCATTTTTATTATGAATTTTTACAAACTAGCTTAACGTTAGCTTAATAATAGTAAGCTCTTCTCCTTTAGGATTAAACAGCCGGGCCTTTCTCAAAAACACAACTCTGAAAACTCTTAATATTTAAGCCATTACACATTTATTTGTTCTGGAGGATGTGATCGCCTATGATTTGGGGTCGCTCACTGCCAGTGTCTTCACTTGCTCAGAGGAAGTTCCTCTATTTCCTTTGTTGAATACGTATACGAGGGGGTTTGCCTCAGTATTTATTTGATTTGAGATGAGACTCTCAGTTTTTTTTTTGCCCCTTGAACTATTGTGTATTTTATTTCGTTAGCTTTTTGCGCAGAACCCCATTTCAAACTTGGGATATTCCTCCATCCTCTCCGCTTCATTCTTCAAGAGTTTAAGTCTTCTGGCATTAGTCTTATCAGCTTTAACCGCACTAACATCAGCACCTAGGTCAACGAGCATCTTCACAGCTTGTGCGTTACCATGTCTCTCTGCCGTTTGAAGAGGAGTTAAGCCTTCTGCATCACAGATGTTTACACTTTGCGGCCCATACATCACTAGAAGATCGATTATCTTACTGCAATCGCTGTTAAGAGCTGACAGGTGCAAGGGTGTATATCCAAAATTATCTTGAATATTTACATTCGCGTTGCGTTCAAGTAACAATCTACAGAAGTTTTCGTTACCCTCAAAGGCACAATCGTGCAAGGGTGTATATCCCCATCTATCTTGAAGATTTACTTCTGCGCTGAGTTCAAGTAACAATCTACAGATGTTCTCGTTCCCCTTTCTGACACACCGGTGCAAGGGTGTATATCCATCTTCATCTTGAATATTTACATCCGCTTTGTGTTCAAGTAACAATCTACAGATGTTTTCGTTATCCTCTAAGGCACAATCGTGCAAGGGTGTGTATCCCCATGTATCTTGAATATTTACTGCTGCGTTGTGTTCAAGCAACAATCTACAGATGTTTTCGTTAGCTTTTAAGGCACACCGGTGCAAGGGTGTATATCCATCATTATCTTGAACATTCACATCCGCGTTGTGTTCAAGTAACAATCTACAGATGTTTTCGTTATGCTCTAAGGCACAATCGTGCAAGGGTGTGTATCCCCATGTATCTTGAATATTTACTGCTGCGTTGTGTTCAAGCAACAATCTACAGATGTTTTCGTTAGCTTTTAAGGCACACCGGTGCAAGGGTGTATATCCATCATTATCTTGAATATTCACATCCGCGTTGTGTTCAAGTAACAATCTACAGATGTTTTCGTTATGCTCTAAGGCACAATCGTGCAAGGGTGTATATCCCCATGTATCTTGAATATTTACTGCTGCGTTGTGTTCAAGCAACAATCTACAGATGTTTTCGTTAGCTTTTAAGGCACACCGGTGCAAGGGTGTATATCCATCATTATCTTGAATATTCACACCCGCGTTGTGTCCAAGTAACAATCTACAAAGGTTTTCATTTCCCTTTAAGGCAAACCAGTGCAAGGGTGTATATCCACGATTATCTTGAATATTTACATCCGCTTTGTGTTCAAGTAACAATCTACAGATGTTTTCGTTACCTTTTAAGGCACACCAGTGCAAGGGTGTATATCCATTAGTATTTTGAATATTAACATTTGCGTTGTGTTTAAGTAACAATCGGACCACGTTTTCGTGATTTTTTTGGACCGAAACGTGCAGTGGCGTGAGCCCATTACTAATCTGTACATTTACATCAGCTCCATGCCTTACAATTAAGCTTGCTGCCACGTAGTTGTTCCAGTCAGCTGCTAACATTAGTGGAGTTTCTTTGCTTTCTCTCAATTGGGCATTAACGTCGGCCCCAAGATCAATGAGGGTCTCAATAAACTGACTTGAGGATGAACGACTGGCCTGCAGCAAAGCTGGGTAACCACTGTCTGATCCTGAGGCATTAATATCTACACCGTCATTTAATACAAGTTCAACTGCCCGTTCCACATCATCATTGCATGAACCCCACTGCAGCTCAGTGAGTCCGCTCTTGTCCTCAGCCAACTTTTCATAAATCCTTTTGATATCAACATTAAATGGGTTTGTTCTCTTTCTAAGTGACAATAAGTCAACTGCCGTTTTGCCAGAAAATGTTTTGGCGTTATTTCCTGTTTTTGTAAGTTCCATTTCTTGCACAAAGTTGTCAAAAAGGCCACCAGCTTTTAAAACAATGTTGTATTTTTCCTCAAAGACAGTCGCCTGGAGCAGATTAAATCCAGATCGTTCATCCACTTGCAAGAAAGCTTTTCTTGTGAGTTTCTTTAGACAGACCTATGATGAAAATGAACATGTTTCTGAGCGAAAATATTAAAGAGGAAATTCATGTGGCACTTAATTTTGCAGACAATAGATTAACAGGGTTTCGCTGTATTCTCATTGCAAATGGACACATTTAACACAACATGTGATGGTGGTTGGTTGCTATGGTTAAAATATATATGGCGTCATTAGTAACATAAGGGAAGACCACTAAAAATAGGAATAAGAGTTTTTCGCACCATTTTGTTAATAATTCTGACTACGATCAAATTCACAAATCGCAAACGTGATAATATTTATGAAGAGACGTGCGCGTTACACAAATTTTATTCTATCAAGTTCAACACCAAAAATATTTCTGGAATGTTATGTGTCGAGGGAAGAAGCCAAAGAAGTGTGGGAGAAGTAAGCTGCAAGCAGAAAAGGTATTCATATTTTGGTTTGCTGCTCGCTAACTCCTTTTTCCTTATCTCCAGTGGGATTGATCATAAGACGATGAACATTTTCAACGTTCATGCTTTTCTGAGTTTGACAGTAATGATAATCATTGAAGACCAAAAGTATGAAAAGGGTTCCAACGGGCGACAAATATCACGTGAGAATTTTGAAACCGTCAGATAGGGAAAAAGGTTGGTAAACAGGTCAGCACTCGTTAACATCCGTTGAAAGGCCCTTTCTCCCCTTATGATTTTTACACAAGGTAGAACTGTTTTCTGCTTTTATACCACACTTAGATGATATTTCAAGCTGAAAATCATTTATGAAAGTGCAAGTCTCTTCAATTTAAAAGAAAAAAAACTGATGTGAAGGACAAGAGGATCCGAACCCATGACCTAAATTGCCACTACACCTCACTATCCATCCACTTACCACTAGACCACTAAACCACTGACGATTTGTTGGATGGTAGGGAAATAATTAAAGTACACATAGCATCAACCCCAACCCAACAAAAGAACGTAACCAGTTTCGAAACATTGCTTAACCCTAATCAGGAAAGGAAGTGCTTAACCCTTATCAGTAAAGGCAGTGCCTAACCCTAATCTGCAAAATGATAAGGAATACTACGTTGTGTAAACTTCATAAGGTGTCCAAGGGCCTTTCGACAGATGTTAAAAAGTCCTGGCCTGGAAAACAAGACTTTGTGGATCTCACCTCCACCCTCCCAACCAATTTTGACGTTTTTGTTGTCTCTTGATCTACGGGTGGGCGTAACTGAGAAAACATATATAATGTTCGTGTACAGAAGAACAAATATAAGGTCTTCGTGTAAAAAGCTTGAATAAAAGCTTATACGACAATGTATAGGTCCTACGGTAACGTTAAACATTATCGAAATAGAATACAAGAAATGTAAGCGATTTCATCTGAGAGACAACGCTTCGCGAGTAGGACATACAATCTGATATCTTACTGGTTGACGAAAACTTGGCCTGGCACCATTCTTTAATAGCAACTGCATTATGGAGTGGTGGTTTTGACGCTCAGCTTTTTGCAGAGGGGTTCGTTGAAACTAAAAACGTCACAAGCAGAGTAAAATGAGTAACATGTACATGCTATTTCTCAACAAGAAAAATAGTCTAACTACCGATATGTCCACATAAGGTAGTATAACATATAGTGTTGTAGTATTTACATGTCCAACATGCAAAAACAAGCAATAGAATGGGATTTGAGCTTAATCTCGATTTTTAACAGGCGATCAAAATCCCGGTTCACGAAGTAAATAAAAGCGCCTTATGGGGGACTGGGCCTAGTTGCCTGGGATGTCAACCCGGTGTCTCGGCGATAACATGATAGACCTATTCGGCTAACTCAATGTTGTACTCAATTCAAATCTCCCGGTGTTAAGATTCTTTGTGTATTGTATTTGCATTATAATATGGCATTCACATTTAAATGATATGGAAATTCCTGAAACAAAACGTTTTAACCCCAAAGGGTTTGAATTGGGTACAACATTGAGTTAGCCGAATTGGTCTATTGGCTACAAGATACCGGGTTGACGTCACAAGCATTTAGTGCCAGGTCTCTCAATCACTACTTTTTGAATAAATATGGCGGGAAATTAGCTTCCAATTGCCGATTTCGTCCTTCGATAAAACTGTGTTGAAACGCAAAACAACTTTTACTTCTTCGCAAAAATTCTTTAAACTACACAAATGTTCGAAACGTAAAGGGACAGGTACACGGTTAAGCGCATGCTCATTAATTAAATTACTTCTTTCCAATTTATTATCAATTCTATCGGTTAATAATCCCACTCACATGTATCTCAGCGATCTCAGAGTGTATTTCAAAGTAGAATTGTATAACCTGAAGTAGGATGGAGGAGTACTAAAATCGCAGAAAAAATTAGTGGATTATGCCAACACTACCAACGCTAAATTTATTGTTGACCCGAAGGTTTTATTTTTGAACCGTGAACCTGTCCCTTTAATATAACTGAATACGGGTGATAGGCACTTTAAAAGTCCAAAAATTGAATACATTAACACGGTTAACATCTCAGAGAGATTCGTATGTGAATAAATAGTACTCGAAAAACAAGAACTTCCCTTGCCCCACCCCCCAGACTTACGCTGTCTTTAGCGTTGACGTTCGCTCCGTATGTCAATAACAGTTTGACAACAGATTCCTTTCCATACCAACAGGCAAGATGAAGAGGAGTCAAAGAAAACTATAGAAAACAGGAGGAATAACGCAGTTAGATAAGACTGAAAAAAAGCGATCCAATGCTATACTAAGATGGCCTTTACGCCGCGACCAAAATCTTACCGGATAGGGCTTCTGTTCATAAACAAGAACGATTGTGGCAGAGCGATTTCTGTGACGAAGCGAAACTATGCCGCGCCGATCTCAAAAGTGGAATGTCACATACGGGATACGTTTTGTGTCAATCTTGCAGTGTGAACACCTTTTGGGACCGTCGCGGAAATAAATAAGTAGGAGCGAGTACTGGAACCCAGAGATAGAAGTAAATTTTAAGGAGTAAGGAAAAGAATTTAGTACACCAAACTCTCTCTGCCCCGGGCCGGGGCAGAGAGGTAAAGAGGTATAGTGTGAACATAACTTAGGCAGTCTACTGATGAACAGCTACGACTTATAGATATTTTCAAGAAACAAAAATTTGCTGTCTGTCAATCACGCCTGTCAATACCGGCCAATCAGAATGCTGTGTTGGTTCTTGAAAGCAAAGCATGTAATGCTGGAGCAAAGCCCAAACACAACCTTCTGCTAGTAATCTACTAAAGCAAGAAAGGAATGTAAGAATCAGTAAGCATCAGATTTACATAGATTGGCCGAGACTAAAACCTGATCTCTTTGATCCACATCTTCACCACTTCCAAGAAGCATTTTAACCAGCTCGTATTGTCCACTGACCGCAGCCTTGTGTAGAGGGCCTCTTGACGCCTGTTTCAAAAAATGCCCTTTTGTCAGAGAGTGAATTTTCCGTTAAACCTTTCACCAAGTGATACTTACAACATTTACATTCATGTATGTCTGTCTGGATTTACAAAAGGTACCTCCAGGTTTTTATAGCAAGACTCATTTGAGGCTTGTTCAGTACTTGACCATTTTTTGTTATGACGTTTTAAGTACAAAAAAAGCCTAGTAAGTTGCAGTAGACAAAAAAAAAACATTTGTACCTAATGCTGTTTACATCTTTCCCCACCCCCACCCCCTCTTCTCCCCTACTTATCATTTCCCATCATTATCTCCGTGTCGTAAAACATTGTCACATTTGAAATCAGCGCGCGGGGTAGAAGTTGTTTTCCGTAGTCGGTTAATTTTCTACATTTCTTTCTAACCGCCTGCATCAGAGTTTTCCGGAAGGAGGCATTAAGCCTTATGAACGAGCAAGTCTCAAGATTGGCAAAGTCTGCCGTCGTCCAAGATGTTACCGTATTTCGTCTCATTTTGGCTAAACGGGTGAAATGTGCAATTACAGGGCAAATTACGGCTCAATTATGACTGTACGTAATGTTTCTAAGTGTATTAAATTCCGAGGTCTTAGAAAACATTACTTAGCTAACATTTGAAATTTCTACTAAGATGCAACGAAAAATTAACAACCACTTCTTTTTAAAACATGCCATTATAATATTTCGATACAATTCCTACTAATGAAATGAAACCAAGCCAGTCTTCCTTTTCGACATTGTCTAACGGAAATGGGTTTGAAAACTGTCGTACTTTTTTCCGAGCTATTATTTCTGCAGAATTGAGTGGACATTAAAATGCAGACCGAACCCCATGCAACACGTCGATTTCTTTTCCTTTCTAGTCTTCAGTTGTTTTCATTTTTAGTCCCAAGTGCAAAGCTGCCTACCTCAGAACCATATCGGTTTGTGTCAATTAGAAGGGAAGCTCCTTCTTGATCTGATTCAGGTGAAGGTGACAAGCCATCGCTGGTTGCTATCACAGAATGAAATAACAAAAACACGCATAAAATTCATCTGTTGTGAATGTATTATTACATAAAATACTCACAGCCAGGTACAATTACTGCACTACGTATATACTGCAAATAAACATGAACGTCAACTAACAGTCTCCCTTTTGTGGTCATATAGTTTACTTGCTGAACTGAACACTACAACTTCTTTTGGTTATGAATGCTTAATCTTATTTCGATTAAAGGTCAAATTAACCAAAAAATCGAAATATTCTCTTTTGCCGCTTTACCTTCATCAAACACTAAAAAGAACCATCCCAAGTGAGATTTTTCTTCCCAAGCCTTTATAGAAAGATAAAAGATCAAAAGTCCGAGCATTTCCGAAGACTTCACGAAATCGTTTCTGAAATGGCCGCGTGATAGACTGGAGACTATGTGACGTCAATGTTAGTCTTTCAGGGCGGCAAAACGTTCTGCGCAAGCTTCTGCGCATCCCTCATCGCCTGCGTTTGTTTTTCTCGTTCTGTGAGAGTTCTGACTGAGACGGAATGAAATACGCGGGGTGCGAACGTTTGCTCATTGTAAAGGCTTTTTTTTTGGTTTTTGTTGTTGTTGTTGTTTTTTCGTCACTTGAAAATTACTTTGGATTCAGAACAACCAATGTTAGAGTAAAAACAGATCATTCCGTCAGTCTGACGAGGAATAAAACGTTTTGAACATTTCAAAAGAGGTTTGTATTTTTCTGATAATTGTGCATTCGATTTGTGAATTGATTTTGTGTCCAGTTCTTCGCCTTCTTTCGCCGGACTGAATTAAAACCCGCTTGTATTCTGTTATTAGTAGTTACGGTTAGTTTTTTGACATGCCCAGATTTATTTACCTTTGCAGAACCAGCTTTATCCTTGTGCTATGTCAAAGAACCGTAATGCTAACGCTTGCGAGTGAATAAACTTGAGCGCTTAAAACTTCCTCGGAACTTTAGAAGGCCAGCAAGCTTACTCGAGAAGAAAAGACTACTTCGATCATTTTTCTGTTGCTCAAGTAATAATAGTCAAAGTTTTTTTCCTTCAGTTTTTTCAGTTTTAATTACATAGTTTTGTTATCTTTCGGTACGCAAATTTTCCTTTCACCTGCTTTCACTTGCTCTGAAGTAGCGGAGAACGACAACTGCCGGTAGTGACTCCAAAACAATCGACTCGCATGGACCAGTTTTTAAAAATACATATAACCACAGCTTGCAACTTTTGAAGACAAATTGCTTGTTCTTTCTAGGTTTATGGCCGCACAAACCACCACAATTTCTGCGCCAAGTCGACTCGAAAAACACTGTATTTCCCGCTTTTTTTCACCTGACCAACATTGACGTCACAAGCTGTTTTTACCGACAATTTTTCCGGCCGCTTTACGAAGATAAGGGCCAAAAAATAACAATTTTTAATTGCGAATATCTCGGAGATGGTTGCTTCAATTGAGCTGAAACTTCATAGTATGTATATTCGATTCATATTAAACATATTTCACTAGAATTGAACTAAAATAAAAAATGTCGAATTTTTGGTTCATTTGACCTTTAATGTTTTATGCATTATCACTGATTTATCTGTTCATTTAGTGCAAAGTGCCAAACTGTTTCAGGGAAGTAATTTGAAGCTCAGAAGATTCCTTAATTCCCTCATGTTAATGATCCGCCCCGCAGTGTAACACCTTACGACGATGATCATTTTGAAACACTGGCTTTTTTGATCCCGGATAGCTACTTTCAGTAAAAGTATCACTGCCATAAGAAACAATCAGACCCTTAATCAGGTTTTTAAGTAGAGAAGGGCCAGTGTAAACTGTCAATTTTGGCCCACAATAAGCAAATTGAATGGTACTGATTGACTAATTTAAAAGTCTAATTTTACCTTTCAACTGTACCGCCGTTAATTGCTCAGAGAGGACTTGCAACTCCCATGATTTTTCCTTCAAAATCTTCTCGCACATTTTGTAGTTTTCTTCATCGATAGTTGTCTTCAATCTGACATTCTCAAAGTTCAGTTTTCTCCTTATGTCATCAGTCACAAGGTATCTCTCCGCAATGTGATTAAGGTGACCAGACTGATAGTCATTCCACAAACTTTCAAGACTCTCCAGGGAGGTGCACCGAAACTTTACTTCCAGAGATCCCAAACCCACAGATTCCAAGGCCACGTTGTGCGTCTTCTTTATATATTCAATCAGGCCAGACACTCCTTCTGAAGTTGCAATGGTACGATGTTGGAAGTACAATAGTATCTGACGTTGTAGAGTTTCATGGACTATTTTGCTCTGTTCATCACTTAGTTCTTGAAAATTGTGCCTTGTAATTATGTCTGAAAGCAAAGAAAATACCACTGAAAAATAAGAATCCTTCACTGAGGATAAGCGAAGAATCTCCAGAAACTTATTTTAGTCTAATCAAGCGACTTAAAAATCTCTTGTCTGTTGCGTGATTGGCTGAATGTGATCTTGTCCCCAGATTTGTAGTATTTCGGAAGCCAACGTGAAATACACAGCCACGGTGTAAACGGCATAAAATTCTGAAGAAAGAATCACCTTTGAGTCATCTAACAATTACCCATCCATTTAAAATGTAAAAGCCAGAAGTAATAAAAAAATGTCATGTTTCTTCGTACCTGGATTACAGGAAGGTCTAGAGTTTTTACGCGTACGGCTTTTTTGAGACTCGCTACTCGTAGATTTTTCAGTTTTCTTTCCTTGTGAAATAGAGGCTTTTTTTTCAGAGTTGCTAAAATGGGAACTTCCTGCAACAATCTGCTCTTCAAAAAGTGAGTTTGTTGTTGGTTTGCTGTCGATTTTTATAGAAGACCCTGTAAAGACAATCAACTATTGGTTAAAATTTGCATTGAAATTTACTAAAGGAAAAAATACAAACACTTATTTTCCACTGAGCAGCCTAGGTACACTGGGTGTTTAATAACCAGGGAGTGCCTGCCATGGTCAGTTTTTGCTTAGTCAGTAGTACTATCACGACTCTTGCCAAAACAGGCGGGGAAAAATAAATTGACCGACAAAAGAACTACTCCCTCGTTGTTCGGGAGAGCGAAGTGATCAATACTCCATTTCAAATCAACTTGATATAAAAACTCACTTTGCAACTTAATTTTTATTACTTTAAGAAATCATACCATGAACCATTTCCCACATTTTCTTCACAAGTTCTTCACATTGTTCTTTCCAATTGTACATTTCTCCGTAAGACGCCCTTAGTGTTCTAATCTCTTCCAGCCGCATTCGATGCCTGTCACGAACATCTTCAATTGCTTTTCCCCACTCTGCAGGATCATCTGAATTCACGACGCATGAATGACCAATAGGAACATGTTCTAATGCTTTGGCAATTCCCGACTTACTACCAACAAGAATAGGTAGGCCTGCAGACAAGGCTTCAAGTGCAACAAGACCAAATCCCTCTGATTTTGATGGCATGATGGCAAGAGCTACTTCGCACAACAAATCTTTCAGTCTGTCTCTACTTTGTATAAATTTTCTAACAGTCAACTGTGCTTATGCAATACCACGTTGAAGAAGTTTTTCTCTAACCTCTTCTTGCTTTCCTTCAGGCGCTCCGACAAAGATTAGATGATAAGGTTTGTTCTTTAGCCGTTGATCATCAAATGCCTTGGCAGCAATGTTGTATCCTTTGAGCTCAAAGTCCTCATCATCCCCACGACCAAATAATAACACTTTAAATTCGCCATCCTCGTAAGGATCTTGTTTTGCCACTAAATCCCCAAACTCCCTATGAAAAACACCTGGAGTAACGGACAAAACGTCTTGATCTGTCTTCCATCGCTGTAAATATGAAGTGTATGCTTCTTTCAGTTTGGGTCCCACGGGCACAACAAGGTCAGCAAGTTTGCAAAGTTCAACTTCTGATTCGTGTTTTGCTTCACCTTTTGAAATGGGGTCACTGTAGCATTTGTATCTGCTCAGGTCCTCTGGAGCAGTGTGAACCACTTGTACCCACTTACAATTTGAAAATTGAGGTGAGTCTCTTATGACTTGTACTTGCCGACCAAGTTTCACACCATGACCAACAACAACGTCCATGAAGTGCTCGCGGGGTGGAAAGCTTAGCCAATCAAGACGATCAAATGCTGCAAGTCTCTTTGCCTCGACAATAGTGACTCCATAAGTATGGGCTTCACTTTTTTCCTCATAATTGCAAGCTCCCTCTGGGACTAGCAGAGAAACCTTCACTGCTGAATGATTTGAAAGGTGAATAGCAAGCTCTCTGTTTATTGTTGACAAACCACCAGCAGATGAACCCCACTCATCACCAAGAAGAGTAACATGTAACACTGGATCACTGGTCTCAGGACAGCAAACCTACAAAAACAATAAAAGTAACAGTAAATAGTTGGGAGATACAAGACCAAAAGACATAGCAGGTTTAGTCGCTGTCAACTGTCATTACATACATAAGTTGTAAACTAAGTCGATAGGGGTAGAATAGCCAAATTTTCTAATCACTCCGATTCCCCACCATGGTAACAGATATTACAGTGTCTTTAGAAACAAACCCCTTCTATCAAATAGGGATGAATCAGGCATATCAACAAAATTCTCAAATTTTATTATTTATCAAACAAACAAATGCCCCAAATGTAATGTCCACCCCATTCCTGATTTTCACCACAACCCTGCAGCAAAAGGGCATGATCATGCCATCGCATGTAGTTTTCTGTTTTCTTGATGAAAGCAGTTTTTACAAAGCATCTGACAACTTCAAATGTTTACTTCGGGAGACACTACCAAATAAGAATAAAGTTCTCTTCAAAGGCCTTGAAATGACACTGTATATAGTATAATAGGAATAAAATATAGCTATTTGTAAAAAGAATTAAGAAAAAAGAATGAACCTTTGGATTGTCCAGACTGCATTCTGCTTTCATAGTCTCAGGTTGACTAGATGAGGCAGCCATGGCTGATAAAGGGAAAAATAAGAAATTAAAATGACTTTCCTTGTATAGTAAAAACAAGTCTTAAAACTTGATGTAAGCATGACTTTCATCACTAAATCAACCAATTTTTTTAATTCTAAGCATTACCGGTCACACATTATCAGATATGTGGATCTCTACTGTCAGTGCTGTAATTAAGCAGAGGTCGTTTTATCTTTTAATAATAAAGTATAATAATTATCAACACATAATAGCCATCATCTTCATTATTTGTAAAGCACATTTTCTATGCAAACACCCAAATGTGCTTCAAAATTGACAAAGCTAATTACCGGTAAATATAATCTAGGGTCATCCTTAACTCCTCCATTATATGATCCTTCTAGCTCCTTCTCTAAGACAAAAACTTCCATCATAATGGAAGCTGATTGAAAAAGGTCATTTATTTAGCACAATAAATCATCAAAAGGTAAGATTGCTTCCCAGTTTCTTTCTGCCTTAAAAAACAGGTACAGGTACATTTGTATACAGCAAATGAAATTAAGGGAATATGATAACTCTAGATTAGTCTTTTAATAAAAATAATCAAAGCAATCAAACAGGTCAGGATTTCCAGATGTTTTATTCTCTTGGGATTACCCAGTAAAACAGACCTCTTTTTAAAGAGAGGGGCAGAGAGGGGAGGAGAGAGAGAGGGGGGGAGAAAACTTAGGCCATTTAAGCCCCCTACTATGGTTGTTCTCATGTATTTTCTGAGTGTGTGATATGTAATAATAAAGTTAAGTTAAACTCTGTGCCAAAAAAAACCAAAAACAACAACAACAGGAAAAACCAAGGTAATTAGTTGTAGTAAAGACATCAATACTCTATAATTTAAGTGCTTTACATCTTGTAATAAAACTACATGTAGTTCTAATTCCCTCAGATTATCTTATTAATTAATTGGCCATCAACTTGAGTGATCTAAATCAAGGGTGGAGACTGAAATTCTCAATAAACTAAAAGCCAGACTCTTGCCTGGCTCCCCGTTTGGGGGATGGGGGTGATAGCAAAGCAATAATGACATTTCAGACTACCCCTTATAACCATGTAGACACATTTTCTTCACTCAGTTTGCAGGGAGGGAGCTGTTGGGGGTTGTGGCTATAGAAAGATTAGGGAACCAATTCACAACTACATGAAAATGTACATGCAGAAATGGTGGCAAGGTAGAAGAACCAAAGGGTAGGAAAATGGGCATGAAGCACCTTTTAATAGCCTGGCTAACATGTTACTGAGAGCAGTGAGTGCCTGATATGATTGATTGATTTGATATTGCAAATCAGTATTATTTGTATGTTGATCTGCATGGATGCTGATTTTTTTTTCTCTTATTAGAAAATTTGTGTGAGAAACGTGGTGGCAGAAAATTAATGCAGATAGAAGTTTTTAGTCATTATCATAATTTCATAGGATTTAAAGTAACAATGACTGTACTGCATGTTTGTGCCTTGCTGTGGTTTCCCTTTATACATGTATGTGGCTGCCAATATGGTGGAACAGGCAGAGGAGAATGAAAATTAATTGTAAGGTTGCACAACCTTTTCAATCATGGGTGCATGAAGGTATGCTCACATAGAACCTTCTGAAATTTAAAAGCTCTGAAATGCAATTTTCAGCCTAACTGAGGGCAATAAATAGGATACTGTTGATAACTATTTACATTTTTGTATAACATCCTTTCCTGGATTTTCCGTAATGAAAAAGAGCTATTGAGTCATATTACCTACAGTTTCCCCAAGCTTCGTTATCAGCAAAAACTGCCATAAGGCATATTAATAAACAGCAAAGAGTTGCCCATGTCCATAAGGCTGTGGAGTGCTGGTAACAAGCAGTGTAGGCCACAGTTGTTCAAAGGTCTGATAGTGTTATACACCAAATCAATGCAATCATCCAGTAGATAGCCTGAATTTCACTCGATTACTTTGGGTCGTTATTACTCCCTTAGTAACATCTGAATCAAATGGCCAATAATGCCGTCCAGTGACGTCACTACTCTTTTGCTTTAATTCATGCAAAAAGTGAAACACGATTTTCAAGTGGCAAACCAAGAAATATCATTAATTCAATTTGAAATGTGACTACATGATACAGAACAGCTGACAGAATTGCTTTATCCTTTTTGATTGCAATTTATATTTTAACATTCAAACTATCAACTGCATGCAGTACTCTGAACCTGTTGTAATTCAAACTCGGTCACAATCACGCAATGAAATAAATACACACACGGAACACTTAGTTCAAAAACACAACAATTTCCTTTAATTGAAAAGATGCTATTTGGTCCTTAACAAAGAAAAAAGAAAACAAGGAAACAAGAAAGAAAAGCTAACAGAATCATTGCACTTGATTGTAAATAGCAAGAAGGTCGAATGACAACATGACATTGGACTCAGAAACTTCGCATTAACAAAATCACTGCGGAAACCACAAAGCAGCTCTAAATGAAAAACCTACCGATTCTCCGCAATGATTCTTTATTCACAGTTCAATTTAGCAATTCAGTTTCAAAGACAAGGGCAATTTTGCTGTTTACAATAAACATTATTGAGATGTTTGAACTCCATGCAAGCACGCCACCGATGCAATCCACTGAATATCAAGCAAAAATCCCGCAAAAATTTCCCATAATTATACATAATTACGCGAATGTTTAGACAATCAACCAATCAAAATCACTACCCGGCTTTCAGGTAGTAGTGACATCACTGGACGGCATTAACGGCTAGTCGATTCAGACATTGCTGAGAGGAGAAAACAACTCGAAGCAATCAAATGAAATTCAGGCTACCAGTAGATATGTTTTAAGGAAACCAAAGGGTGTTCAAAAGGTGGATTCATACACTTACATAATATACAAGGTGTAACCACCTGAAGTACACACACCTCTCTTTCCATGTGTGATGTTCCATTATTGTTTACTGCAGGTGCCAGTTGTTCAAAAGATGGATAATGCTATATCCATCCAGAGAGAACATTAGTCAGTGGATAGTACAATTAGTTTTCCTAATAAATACTTATTCACTCAATCCAGTGAATAGTGTAATCAGCCTTTTGAACAACCAGGAGTTGTTGTGCGGTACATGAGTTACAATGATGGTAGACAAGTTTGTGTGCACATGTTGACAAATAATAATTATTAATAAATAAATAATAATTATTAATAATTATTAGGACATACTAATTGTCTCCTGTGAATGAATAGATCTTTTACTAAAAGAATGCTTCAGCTGGGTTTAATTTTTTTTTTAAACAAACATACTGAACCAAGGTGAACTGAGCCCCTACAGGTTGCCCCTCCCAAAAGACTGACACCTCCAGGCCCCAGCCCCCCAAAACCTCAAGAATCCACCTACCAAGCGAGAGATGTTTAGTTATCCAAACTTATGGCATTAGACATTACATGAAATAACTTTTCAATAGGGGCAACTCACAAGATAAACCTTCCCTTCAACAGTAGGTGAATCAGTTCAATCTGGAGGAAGGGGGAAAGCGAGTCAGTTGAAAAGAGATCTGTGTGTTGCCGCATTTAGCAAACTCTGTGTTTTTTGTCGAAATGATCTGGCCCCCGTTGAATGCACCTGAATAATAAAAAAGCTGTTTTTTTCCCCTAAAATGTTAGCTCACTAGTGGAGGCCTATAAAGCCGGAAGTGCATTCAGTCGATCGTCATGAACATTAACATTTACACTAATTCATGTCGGTTAAAGCTGGTTAACGTTATATATACAGTTACTATAAAGAGCAGTTCACAAACATTTTAGGTGGAAATAATTTTTCTTGGACTTCTTTACAAGTTAACACAGCATCAAATGAAAACAGAAGGCCAAGGACCTGATCTCATAATACAGGGCGTACCCAATCGATGAAATCGATGATCGATGGGAATCGATGGCATTCGATGACAATCGATGCCAATTAATCGATTGATATTGATAATCGATGAACAATCGATCGTCCAGGTGTGTGTGATTATCGATTGTCATCGATTGGCATCGATTGTCATCGATTGCCGATATCAATCGATTAATTGGCATCGATTGTCATCGATTATCAATATCAATCGATTAATTGGCATCGATTTTTTACCAATTTTCATCTATTGGTTATTATTGTTGATAGGTTTTATTTTCAGTCAAGATTTCCAAAGGCACAGTCTCTTGATGCATTTTAATGACGAAAACAATGACATCGTGGAGGACATTGGCAGAAGATCGAGTTTTTTTTACAACTTGACAGATAATCAGCTTAACTCTGCTTAACTGAATAAAGTTGTCTTTTCGCATTTCCCGTCCTTTCCTCTGGTTTGTGCTCGATGAAAGTTACAACAATCTGATTTTATTAAAAAAACCAATAA